CAGCAGGAAGGTTTAGGATGAATTTTCAGCACTGAATTTGAACAACAGAAAACTGAAGCCCAAAGCCCTAATTCTTAGACTTAAGAGTGTGGCAATTAGAAATGTTGATCTCCCTGCTCTGGGGAGCGCCTGCCCCAACTGCTTGTAAATTCTAAACCTGGTCTTTAATTTTTGTAATTTTCATCCCTTTCATTTTTTTTATTTTTTTTTTTTTTTAAATACTGCAGTCTCCAAAGGGTCCTGTTGAGAAAGACAGGCCTTCTCCTGAAGAGTTCACCCCCCAAAAATGTCACCCGAATTGTGAAAACCTCCCTGTTGTGAGAAAAAGCACTTTCAACAATTAAATGAAACAGTGGGGAAGAACTGGAATTGACTCTCACCCCGGGGTCACATACCTAAACAAAGCGAAGGAGCTGGCTGAGTATGAAAGGTAGCTGCTTTTTCCCTTCAATTTTTTCTAAAAGACTTTTTACATCTATCACTCCATGGCGGTAGAGCACATGGAGTCCTGATGCTAATCACAGAAATAATACTGCTCTTCCTGCACACACAGTACAGGAAAGCATGAAAACAGAGTCTAAGGTCACTTTTTAAACAAGCTACAGCAATGGTCTCGGGTCTTCCTTATAATCCTGACGTGTTGAACTAAGTGGATTCTTTACAATCATTATTCCAAAAGGCCAGTAAATCAACTGCACGGCAGCCCCAAACATGACATGATATGACGGCATATTTAAAACCCCAAGTGTCCGTCTCTCCAGGGTACTTCACCAAAATATAATAATGGACACCATTAAACAAAACAGCACTCAAAAAACATGAATCCAAAAGTAACCAGGCCTTAACAACATTGTTACTCATTACCAGGGATCCAGGTTCTCTGTTTAAAGAAACCAAAATTCTCTGATAACCCCTCTGCCAATTCTGATTAAAAAACCCAAAGTTTGCTTTATTTTTATATATCTATCAATGTTTTATTGATATATTTACAATTTTAAAGCAATTTGAAAGCCTACCAGTGCCTCAACTGTTATAATAACATCAATTCTAAGTACCTATACACTTAGGCGTTTGATTTTGCTTGTTTTATCATGGACAAAAATCAGAGCTCCCCCTGCCCACTTTGCCCACCAGGATCCAGGTCCAGCTGTGGCTGTCCTCCCGCCCCCCTGCTATGTGGCGCTGAGCAGCCCTAATATGGCAGTGCCCTGCACTCCCAAGCCCCAGCCTTGCCAGTACCCCTCACTCCGGACCTGAGCCCCTCAGTCCCAACCCACTGACCCCCACCATGCCCCAGTGTGTAGGAGTGTCCTACCACAGGTGATGCAATAGGCAACATGTTGGGGGGGAACGGGGGAGGGGAAACCTCCGCCATGTTTCTATACTCACTTTAAAGGGAAAAATCCATGATTTAAAGGAGAAAATCCACATTTTTCCATGGGAAATGGAAAATCCAGATCCCTGCTCATTATACAGCCTATGGATGGGTTACTATAGAGCTACACATCCAGGTCACAGTAGTGTCTACTTTGGTTTTCTTTGGGCAAATAAAGCCATTTTTCAAATTCTGACAAAGCCATTAAGCTTTTTTGCTATGTATAGTATAAATATTTAGGTTTCATTTTTAAAATCTTACTGTCTAAAAAACATCTTAGTAATTATTAGATCCAGATTTTACTGTCAATGTAAGTACATAGAATAAATTAGATCATATACCCATTTTCCATCAAAATCTGGCAATATGGAATATTGTTACATGTAAAAAAAAGTGCATCAGTAATTGCCTACAACCAATATGTTTAACCAGATGAGCCATCTTCAGTCATCTGCCACTACTTTTAATATATCGGATTACATGTCTAATAAAAAAAATCATCATCTACAACAAACTCTCCAAGGCATCAGGATTGTGTAAACCAGCTTTGTATGTTATATAATGGGCAAGAATTTGTGAGTGCGAGATTTTCTATTAGACCAACTATGATTATTTTTAAGCACCATAAAATTAAGGTAACATGGGTTAAAATTTCACTCCAAGATGAATTCACCTATATCAATTTTGCTAAAAAGGTCAAAAAGAGAAAGTCATAGCGTCAAACAGGACAAGTCCTGTTTTACCTCCTTTTACCACAGGCTATAGCTTTTTTTTGTCTTAAGAATTCAAGAAGTCATTAAGTATCGAAATCTGACTGGTCACTTAACAGACATCTGGTTATTACCATAACACAAAATTTCAGTCAGACAGCACTTGGAATGGATTAGTAGACTAAAGGTGGCTTAGTGAGCTAAAAATATTACTATAAGCATAGTAAGCAAGACACCTCAAATTGAGTCCTAAATTGTTCACCTGTTTCTTCAGTGTAGCGAGGGTACACATTCAGCCCCTAAGTCAGACAATGAGTGCTGTGTAGGGTGAAAGGGAAACAGCAGCCAAATTACATAGGCAGACTGCAAAAACATTCACTAGATGGAAATAGCAACTGATCTGCTTAGACCACCTTGCTAAGTGACTGTAGGACCAGACAGAAAAATGGAAGGTACAGAAAACAGGAACTCACTAGTTCTTCAGGAAGATACTGGCATAATTCAAACCTTCCTGCTGTTTAGGAGTGGGAAAGAAAGGTGATCCTAGGCACCTTTTTAAGTTTTGGGTTTTTTTGTTGGGTTTTTTTGTTTGTTTTTTTTATTAAGCCTCCTTTTGTTGGAAGCTTGTACAACATTAGAGAATGCATTATATTCTTGTCAAGCTCAACTTCAAGTGTAATGTTCACACAGTGACCTACAGCCTCTTAGGATACCTATAAGCTCTTTTTGGTATTTAAGATTAGCACAATGGGAAACTGAAGCTAGAAATTCACTGGGTTATTATATTGTGATCCTTAAGGAAACTGCAAAAAAAAAGCTTTTGCAAGATTATTTGCATTTTACCATGCATCCTAAAGCACTTCATGAATAATTTAACAGAGAATTCCATTTCAAGAGGCTAAGGCTAACCAAAGGAAGCACCCTGGACAAACTATGATAATGGATTTTAAAGTAGCAAGAAGAGCAAAATTATCTGAATCAACTTGGGAAAGAGCCGTCAAGTAGTGGTTTTAAAATCTGACAGCTGAATCCAAAGTAAACTCTTCTTAGCAATTTCTGAGCAACACTCAGTGAAATTTTGCCATTGCTAATTGGGCTCCATTGTCTGTGATATGGTATATTTGCTACTATTACAGACACACACAAGAACCTGAGCTTTTGGCCACAATAGCCGGTAATGTTTAAATCTTGTTGCGTCTCCTTGGCTAAGCAAGAGCCAGATGCATGCACCCCTAATACAAGAGAACCATAACTATATGCTGACCATTGACAACAACATTTGAGTCCAATGAGCTTGAAGGCCAATAAATGAATGTACATGAGTCAACTGCTCGATTCCCCACGCAAACTCCGAGTTTTGAGGGATGTATTTCTAACACATTCTAAGCACATTATGGTTCAAATCAAGCTTTTTTTTTAAATAAGCTCCCTTAAGGATAGCACACTGCTAATTCCCACTGTCCTGTTGTGCTGCTTGAAGTGCTAACAGATTGCCTCCAATGCAGTATGCAAAACTGTAGAAAGACCATCTTGTTGACACATTTGGAGGCTTTGCTTGTAGGTGGGCACGTCCGAGCCAAATACTTTATTCAGCTAGCAGACAAACTCAGACACTAAACATTTTGACATTTAAAATAAATACTGGACATTGCCGAGCTTCTACATCAGGGAGAAGGGACCATCATTTGCAAGGAATGCTGTCATGTCTATAGTGGTATACTGAATACTTAATCATTTACCTTCAGAGAATCAACTAAGTCATCGACTAGGAAGAGGCGTCTCAGCTCCTTTACTGTGCCGTTAACATGACCAAGCACAACATTGCTGTACTTCTGAACAAGCTCCTCAGACACAGCAACATCAGACTCCAAGTAAGCCCTGGAAGAAGAGGGTCATTTGTGAGATTTTTGTAGTAACTCGGCCAACCTTTTCATATGGTCAGTTACAAACAGGAGTTCTTGTGCCAAGCAGAAAAGGCTCCCAGCTGACTGAATAAACCCCCATCTCTGCCAGACTGTTCAGACCAGGGAGCAGTGAACCCAGAGTAAAAACCCCAAAAGCTTAGAATGTATCACTTTCTGTTGCTGAGCTTGGATACTTAATAAAAAAATTAAAAAAAAAAAAAAAAAAAAATGAATGGCATCTGAGTCTCTTATATAGAATACAATTTAAAAGTGGGTAGCTAATTAAATGCTTGGCGCATATTGTCTAGACTAGACAATATGCTCTACCTCTAGTACATGCTAGCATAACCAAACCAGTTCTGCATTTGTTTTAAAATATACCCTGCTTTGTCCGCCCTAGGTTTTTTAAGAACACGTTAGCTAAAACAAAAAGATATTGCATCTTTTGCGGTTAAGAAGGCCAGCATGGGTAGAGAAGACTGTATTTCTTTTTGCTGTATAGAATAAGACTTGAAAATACAGCTTTCCCCCTCCGATGGTTTTACTTTATGATTTCAGGACTTGTCTGTCAAGAAATACCCACGCTATAGTGAAAGTGACTGTAACACTACTAAAGATGTGACTGAACAACAGACAAGAGTGAAACTGATTAATGGGAAAGACAAGACTTTTAGTCCCAATAGTCCAAGACTGAATGTCTATTAATATTCACTTCACTTGTAGGACAAATTAACATATACTGCATTCATCAGACAGTCAGAAGTCAGGTTACTTTAACTACAACATAAGAAGCTCACACTCTACATTGCAGATACTTTGTTAGCAAAGACCAGACAGATTCTTGGCATTTCTCAGGCAAATTAACAAGTAAAGTTGTTTGTTTGTTTTTTTTAAAAGCAAGCAATGTCATGTTATAATCAGGAATACCTTAAAAAAATAAACATAATTTTCACAAGATCTTCACAGCTCACCTTTTAAGGAATGGTAAAATGATGGGCAACTTGACCAGTTTGTCAAATGGAATTTCTGAAAGCCAATAACTGTAAAACTATTCTAGAGAAGGATTCTAGTCTGTGAGGATTAATGCCTCACTTCAAGAAAGTGAAAGGTTAACATACACAACTTGTAACAAGACAAACTTCCTCCACTTTGCCTAACTTTCCAGATGGTTGAGCAAGAGTTCTGGGTATTCCCCCCGCCTCAAAAAGAGATGCCATTCCAGTTATTTTTAAAGAAGCGCTCATTTTTCTATGCTCTAAAATTTAAGAGTAGAATGAAATGATAGATTCTTTAAATAAAAAAGGGTCTTTTTTTAGGGCCAAGTTCTATACTGTCCCACATCAGAAAAGGGCTAAACCTGTTCACACAGAACCTCCCCAAATGAACCCACACACCAAAATATAGAAAAGGGTAACCACCATGCGTCAGCTGTCCCAAGTCTACCAGCATATCAGTCTTCCATCATACACCCTTGTATTTGACCCTCATCTCTCTCTCAGCAACCTGTTTCAGTCCATCAACCAGAGGTACAGTACATGAACCTACATGCACATGACCTTCAAGGTCAAAATCTGAACCTGTAACTTTAAACATCTTGCTTGCACCTGAAGCTGTATACACATAAGTAAAGACTATCTAGATGTTCACAAAGGCATCTGGGAAAACCTTAAGCAGCTTTCAGAATTAGAAGAACACATGTACGTTATTTCCAGAAGGACATCACAAGTAGAGTAATTATAGGATGGGAAAATATGAGGGCGAAGAGCCTTTGCACCAGTTCAGACAGAGTGTTCCAGTTGTAAGGAAACTGGATGAACAGGGCATAGAGGCTGCTAGTATCGGCAAAGGCACAGAAATGAAAGGAGACACAAAGCGGCAATAATCGGGATGAGCACCTGGGTGATGGCATCAGCTAGACAGACACAAAAGGGTTCCAGATCCTAGCAAATAATATGGATTTAACAATAATTTTGGGCAGATTGAAAACCTGCAAGAGACCCTGTAGAGTAATTTAGCAAACTATTCCTTAAATCAAAGGCTGTCCTTTTAAAGCAGCTTCTCTGAGGCTGGTCTTGCTCTGCTGAATGTTACTGCAACCATGGATTTGTTATCTACAGCCTAAATTGTGATTTTGTGGATCAGGAGTGAACACCAAAATGATGTTCTCTTGCAGAATTTTGGCCAAACCCATTTTAAAGAGACAGAACCTCTGGACTGAGGTTAGCTTCTGGAAAGATGACCATCCAACTACATATGCATTCATGGAATGGAAAAAACAGACCTAAGTTTCCACATAAAACCTCTCTTGCTTTAGTTTTCAAAATTGCAAAGGGGAGACGGGGAAAACTTCTTTTAGTGTGGTTTCACAAGGAGGAAAAGCTTAAAAAGCTACTGCACATCAAGATGGTCTGGAAAGATGAACTGGTAGTAGCGCACAGATTAGCAGAAGAGCTGTAAATGCAGGAGAAGCAGGACCTTTCAGAGGGTGCAGAGCAGGAAGAGACAGAGCCATAACACTCCCGACAGAGGCAAGCAGTTGTTGGTTAACAGGTGAAGGAGACTCCATACAAAAAGAGAAACCGAGCCCTCTCAAGAATTCCTCAAATACATTCATGTGAAATGCTACTCTCTGCCCAAACTTCTGCATCACACAGAACCTCAAACCTTCATGCCACAGGATCTTCTAGGCCATTATTTACACAACATAATAATCCGTTCTGTGGGGATTTCAGTGAATTCAGTCATTATTTAAGCATTCAGTCTTTACAGCTTTCCTAAAAGTCCAAGTTTTCGTATGTATCCTTTGATCATGTCATAATAATGGGTTATAAATGAGATTTCAGATGCAACAAAGATAAATTTAGAATAGAGTATAGACCCAGTCAGTTTAAGAGTTAAGCATACTGGTAAGAAAAAAAACATTCCAGGAAAAGGTATTAAAAGAAAAAAGGGTATTTAATAACTTTGATCAAACACCTGTATTACTGCTCTACATCCAACACATTTTCAAAACAGTACAGCTGCTGCTGTCACTGGATATCTGAGGCCTGAATGAAGTACCAATATGCAAGTTATTAAACCACGCTGAACTCCATAAACCTTTTCTATGCCACTGGAGTTGCTCCTGCATATTCGATTTCTTTGAAGAGGTCAGACAAAGGGTCTCAAATCCATTTTCCTTACAAAAGAATGGACACAATATATGGTAAAAGTCATAATCATGTTTAGGAGTAGCCAGAGTAGAAAAACAAACTGCACCATGATGAGGCTATTTCTGTTGCATCACAGCGAGGCAATATATGGTTTAAATGCAGTTACCTGCACCTAAAGTTCTGCTTGAATAAATACGTACTTGGTATTGAAGAAAAACCTCACCTAAATGGGTGGCCTTCATCAGACTTTTGGATTGCATGGATAACTCCCTTGTATATCCTAAAGCTGATCGTCACAGAAAGCAGGGCCAAGGCAATGTAAGCTGTCACACTCACGATGCTGAATACTGTTAATGAAAGGAGCAGGAACAAGCTGGCACCAAACACCACTCCTGTCTTCTTAATGTCTCGCCAGTAAAGGAGGTCAACAACTAAAAAGTTAAAAAGGTAAGAAATTAGAACACAAGACCTCTTACATCCATACAACAAGAGTATATTTGATTCATCTGGATAGCGAAAGTCTTAAATAATTGGACTCAAGACTTCATTGTCAAATGACATATCCAAGTTATGTTATGTAATTAGCATCTTGGAGACCAACTTAGACCTGATGTTTTGTACTGGACTCAGAATTCTTGGCATTATTTCAAGAACATTTGCTAAAATTACAGGTGCAATTCAGCCCTGAAGAGAGACTACATGAAAAGGAATTCATTTTATCAGCTTTCCTTTTCTTTTTGACAGTATTCAGATTCATAATCAGCTTACACTTCAACAGACAGAGCTAAATTCACCTACCAGGTGGATACTCTTTCTACCCAGGGATAAAAGAGAATTAATTATTGACTGTCAAACTATTACACCTGTGCAAACTCAGTGGAGGTAATGGCACTGCACAGAATCACCACAGACATTGTTTTAAGCTAAGTGGGTTGTTGCAAAGATGTAATGGAAGGCACAATTGGGCAATGTCTGATGATTATGTTTGAGATGGGAGGAATCCAACTGGATTTTCAGAGGAGGATAAATTTGCAGAGCTCAAGAGAAAAAAAAAAAAAAAATGTTCAGTTTACACAAAAATGTTTTCCTTGTAAAAAAGAAAGGCAATGACCATGGAACCACATAATGCTGGTTTTAGCATCACTGTTTCAGACTAGAATTGCATTCTTCAGTGAATTATAGTGAAATAGCTTGAGATCTCCATCTTTATTCATCCTCTTGGGTTGTGATCTGTTACATTTAAGTGAAATATCACATGTGGTAATCTGCTTGCAAGCAACCACTGTTCATTGTCCAATATGCAGTTATGCAGGGGATACTAATTTATCTCTTTTTAATGCACTTGTCAGTCCTACAAGGTAAGCAAAACACACCCTGAATATTTTCCATCCTCACTAGTGTTTTAAAATTTGCATAAAATCAACCTCTCTCTTTCTGTCATAACAACCATAACTTCTCTTTCACATCAACTCTTTCCAACAAAAAGGATCATATAAAATTTACTAGGTGGGGGACCTGATATAAAAAAAAAAAATAGATATAGAGAGAGGGTCTTATTAGCATTATCAGTTAAGTCAAGAATTTGCACACAGTCTTTTTAGAATAAAGCACTCTTATTTACCATCAACTCTAAAAATTACCAAGATCAATTTATCTGCCTCGATTTGCTGGTAATCTTTCTCTGAGCTTACTACTCATGCTACATCTTGGATACATTAAACACAGGGGAGGGCAAAATCCAGCTGGGAGCAGCTGGGAGCCCCACCGACTCGGCTCCATTCTCTGAGCCCCTGGCCAAGTCCCGGGAGCTGCACATGGTGGCAGGGACCAGGGCCTGGTCATTGACTCCATTGTGTGGGGCTCCCTCCAGTGGTGCACGGCTCTAGCCAAGTCCCAGGAGCTGCACGGGGCACAAGAAGCCCCACATGACAAAGCCAGCCAGCCTGGCCCCACTCCCTGCTGCCACGTGCAGCTCCCGGGACTTGGGTGGAGCAAAGCGTCACCAGGGGGCTTCACCTGCTGCAGGCCATGAGTGCCCTGAAGGCCCACTGCCTGCTCTTGCGACCACCACCAGGGGCTGTGCACCATGGGGGGGGGGAAGGGTGTGGAACAGGCCCCCACATGCACCTTCCCCCACAAACCCCACACCCTCCATACACCCCACCATACCTCCTGCCCCACAATGTAAATCAGGACAAAAATATTTTTTGAAATAAAATGTTATAGTAGATGTTTGAATTTTAGTATATGATTCAGGTTTTTTTTTTCCCCCCCTGGGTCCAAGATGGCAAATCCCCCTCCCAAAAGCAGTATTTCCAGGGGAATAAGGGGAAGGACTCCTGCTAGCAAAGGTCGGGGGGGGTTCCAGTCCCAAGATGGCAACCAGAGGGCGGGGCACCTGTCAAGGGGCTACCCTTGTGGCCCTCAACATCTCACCAAAACCTCTTTAACCAGCCATCCATCTGAAATAATTGATCATCCCTCCACTAACAGTGTATTTTTATTAACAGGTAACTACAGAATCAGTCACAATTGAAAAGAAAACCCAACTTTCATTCAGAATAAGATATACCACCAAATATTACCTCAATTGTTTTGGGGGTTTTTTTATAGTCTGATGAAAATGTACATGGCTCTAGCGGTAAATAATTCTGGGTCACCTTTTTATTAGACAAGAACCTGATAATATTTAGGTGGACAAGCGGCTTCTCATGATGGTAATTATGAACACAAGTAAGTGTTTTTGTAATATGGCAATTTCAATATGCAACTTGAACTGATCAAGAGACATCTACTGAAAAGACCAAGACCCTAAGGTTCGAAGCTACCAAAAATAAGTCTCAAATTTTTAACAAAAATTTCAAGCAAAGGTTCAAACAGGCACTTCCATAAAGTTTACAAAGAAAAGAACTTTGCACCCAACTCTCATGGTATTTATACAGTTGTGTGAGAGCTATGAATTCATACCCATCCTCTTGAAGACTGCCTTTCTATATCTAACAAATGAAAATTCACACCAGCTGTAGACAGCTGCTGTTCTCCATTGCACTATTTAATCCATATTAAAAAGTCGATCTGTAGGTTTTGACAATTCTTTTTGCACCCGCTGCAACTCCCACCCCCCTTTCAAAATTAGAGCATTGACATCTCTATAGCTCCTTATATCTGCAGGCATAGTAAGAGGCTTGGTCCAGAACACAGTGAAGTCACCTTAAAATCCCCCACTGGTTGTAGGTCAAGCCTCACATACCCACAAAGCTTGGGTGGGGATTCTCAGGAGTGCCAGATTGACTTCCAGACAAAGGTCCTAATCCTGAAGTCAATGGAACATTTGCTTCTGGATTACTCTTGACATTTTTGAAAAGCCCCACCCTCCATGAAAATCTGCTTAAGCTACTTCAGCTAACAAAGCTAAAACTCATGGTTATCCGCCTCTAATGTGGACTATATGATTAGTATTATAGTAACATTTCAAACACCAAACAATTTACAGTTGGTGTACCCCCTATTGCCCACCATTTGTACAGCATATGCTCATTTAATTAGCTTTTATCTTCATATCACTCCTTCCTTTTTCCCCCTAAGTCCCAAATATAGTATAATTAAGAACTGGAAGAGAGTCACAAAGTTATAGATGACAGCTCCATCATCTTTGGTATATATACATACACACACACACACACACACACACACACACACACACACACACACACTTTTTCAAAATCTGCATTAATAATAATGTGTTCTCATCTCCTTACAGGAAAATAGCTCGTAACCTCATAATGATCTACATCTGAACTCAGTAAAGAGATGCACCAAATGTACAGGCAATAGTTTAGAAGGCTGTAAAAACACTAGGAGGAAAAAAAAGGGACACAGTTAGGGTATTTTTTAGGGAAAAAAAAAATCAAAGTGGTCCACAAGTGCCATCCTACAAACCACAGAAACCAAGCTTGAAGGGTAGTAAAACACTGGAACAGGTTATCCAGAGTACTGGCAGAACCTCCATCCTTGGAGGTTTTTAAGATCCAGCTAGACAAAGTGTTGGCTGGGATGATCTAGATGGGGATAGTCCTGCTCTGACCAGGGGGCTGGACAAGATGACCTCCTGAGGTTCCTTCCAATCCTAATTTTCTATGATTTTATAAGTCCTTTCTTCGAGTGACCAAATAGGGAGGTCACTAATCTAGTCCTTTCTAGCGTACACATTTTATTTGGCCTAGAAGTGAACTTTTTTTTTTTTTTTTTAATCTCTCCCCTACACTGTTTGTTCTCTGTTAAATTAACTACCAAATAAACCCCACATTAATCATTCATATTACACTGTTTTGCTGTAAATATTTCAAAACAGAAATGACTACTGTAGAGCCAATTACAAACCAGAGTTGTGACTTAGTCCAGGTGACTGATAAATGGTAAAAGCTGCTTAATATTCTCACATCTATTGAAGAGGAGGTAATTTGCTTAAAATTTAGAAAGTCTAACTTGCATTTTAGTAGAAAGAAACAGCTATCTGGTTTAAAAGATAAACACTATATATTCAGAAAAAACACAGATGCTCCAAAGGATATGCTTATTTAAGCAAATTGTTTGAGCTTCAATTTATGCTATATGAACTACAAATTTCATCCCTTCAGTTAAAGTATTCCAGGCCTATTCTAAAGCAAGTGCAGCTGCCTACATTTGGTAAGCCTGAACTGTCATTTGGCATATCTAAAAATAGCAGTGCTAGCATCCGTGCCTTACATGCAGAACTCATCCAATTACATTTTGCTTTTAAAGCTAGTGCTTGCAGAAGAGGCTGATTACAGAAGTCTCCAAAAATCTTCTCTTTGATCACCAGTTCTTATTTTAAACTGAAAATGTTCAATAGCTATGAGAAAAAAAAAAACCCCAAAAAACAAGTGCTTATATATTTGACCTGAAAAATCCACTAATAAAAATAAATGAGCAACAAGAAACTATTTGTGCCTTATGGACACAACTGAAAAACCTCAAGATTCACAAGAGTTTTAAAGCCATGTATATTAAATGGAAAAAAAATAAGGACTAACCAATTTTGGCATCCATCTTGAGTTTGCGTGCATGCACCCAGACCTTGTACAGCTGACTAGCTGGAGCCTTTTCACTTCCTGCTAGGGCATTCAAAGGTCAGCCCGACATACGCAACTGCCTGCCCGTCTCCCTGCTGCAGCTAGAAGCCTCAGACTAACACAGAAAGCTTTAAGCCTTCAGCCAATAGCTGCTTCTCCAGTAAGTCCTTGGAATGCAGTTAGAGCATTAAAAAAAAAAGACGACCGATGTCTGCAACCGACTAGGACAAGAAAACATTCGTCAAGTGTAAAAAACCAAAACAAAACAAACCCCCCCCCCACAATTTCAATGCCACAGAGTATACTAGGGGGGAAAAATGAACATGACACCAAACATA